TTAACAAAAACAATATTGGCAAACTTGCACCACAATCCAAAAAAGATTATTTTTGAGCGCTCTGAATACTCATGAAAAAGTGTGGGCCGATACTTTTCAAGTTCAAACGAATTGAACGAATTTCCCTCTTCAGATTTTCACCTGCTACGCCTACCATTTCCCTTTTGGATTTCATTTATATTCTTTTTAAGTCTAAGACCGTTACTATGGCTGCTGAAGTTGTTTGAATTTACCTTAAAGGAGGGTCTCAACGAGATTAACCGTTAGCCGTAATACGGCCAAAAAATTAACTGTTGGGCGTCAAAGTTGACAAATTTTATCTGTCAGTCGTAAAAAAAAATTAGCCCAATAGGACTGTCTCTTTCTACAAGGTGTCATCTTGAGTTTATTTGCGTTTGAGATTTCAAAAGTGCGTGGTTTGACCTTTCAAAATTGTCCTCAAATGTGCTTAATACCCCACCACGGAGGCTGCCACCTTCTAGTGTCTTAGCAAAATTTCTCAATACCCTTTCTTCCATCTCTCGGAAGGCCGTTTGATTAATTAGGAATCTCACAATATGCCTTTCTTGGCTACATTAAAAAATTTATGATTTTGTTTTCGATAACAAGAGAACTACGTTTCGTGGTTTTAAGTGCGAACCTGTTAACGTTGTTTTAAAAATGAAGGGGTTCATAACTGAATTTTCACCATTTCGGAAGACAGCTGAAGAATATTCTCAAGTTACTCTTTGGAATCTCATAATGGGGTAAGTTGTTAATTTTTATCCTCTTTTTCAAAGTTTGGTATGGAAATGATCTGGTTTCTAAAGATGGTTCTCCCATAAGAAATATTAATCAGTTTAACCAGTTGTATGATTTGCCTTCTTCTTTGTCCTCTTTAGGTTCAGTGATTAAAGTCGGCTCTCATTTTGGAGCCTGGAATCAGAATAGTCAACAACCGTTTTGTGATAGACCGTGATTATTTAGTTTTGGTTTTTCGACTTCGAAAGGTGATGTGTGTGATGCAGCTGCTGCCTCTGCTGATTCCACTATCCATACACGATTACCTTTGAGCAGCTTTCTTCAGCTTTCCATTCTGGCCTTCAGACCCAAATTTTACAGACATTATATTCTTGGTGAAGTCTCACCTATATCAGGTGCAAACTTTTCCCCTAAACTATAAAGAAAATTTGAAATATGTTTCTCGACGGAGCTATAATAAAAATCTTCGTAACACTTGAAGAGAATTAAAATTGAAACTTGAGCAAACGAGATGAAGTTCTCATAAATTGCAAAACCAAAATCTACAAATACAACAGGTTGAAAATGCGATTTTCGTTAGGGCTTTCAAGTGGTGGGTTAAAAAAAATGTATCTATGTAGCAGAACAATCTTTAAAATGCTTGCGAAAAACTGAGGTCAGACTGCTCAAGTCAGATATCGGTCTGGCTTGGGCAGCCGCTGCAGTCTAAACATGACTACAAAGCGATACAAGTCAAAGCAGAGCACAAAAGATTACGCTACCTCAAATTTTACCACCACCGTTGCGTCCTGGGTTCACTTAGCAACGAGGAAGCACCGTTAAATTTTCCATGGCTTGGTGTATTATGACGCAACAAACATAAACTTTACAGAAAATCCACTGACCAGCACTGTGTTCGAACAGACTGACTCGCTTCTCTCCCAATGGCATTTGCCTCGCTTTAAAAACGCGGTACAGTGCACAATCTTTCATTTGACTGACGTGCCTGGCTTCCCTGAAGAAACGTTTTCTTTCACAGGACGCAAAACTGAGAATGTGGCATACGCAAGCATGCATCCGTTGAGCATGATTCAGTCATCAACGCACGCGCTCACATGGCCGTTGCCAGATTCTTCGAATCACCCTTTTGCCCTGCTTTTGTCTTCGCTTTTCTTTCTATTTTTACACGAGGGGCCAAAGTGAGTAGTGCGATGAAACTATAACATTGTCGGCCAGTAAAATGTCAAAGAGTAGTGGCAACCATGGAGGTTGATAAAGAAAATGAGTTCCCACCTTTTACTGCAGAAATGCGCGCGCATCGATTAACATGGTAATTTAGTATTAATTATCAACTGATTTGATAACGTAGATTGGCCACCGTTAAGAGTTTGAAAGCTGACGTTTCGAGCGTCAGTTCTTCGTCAGAGCGAATGGACGAATTGTGGGTTGTGAGAACGTTTACATGCAGAAAATGGAGCTACGCTATTGGTGGGAAATAGTGAAGAGAAAACAAGAACAAACTACTGTAGTTGAATGAAAAGTGCTCGTTGATACCGTAGGGATTAAGAGTGTCGGTGGTTTGAATTCATTGTGAGTAAACGGGTAACTGACTTTATTAGATTTAGAATTTCCGTTTGTAATTTTCTTTGCAATATTTTGTTATTTTTCGCTTTGACAAAACACCCTGATTCTTTTTCGCGAAATTTTTGTTACGATCGTGTTATTTACTGGTTATATTTATATCTTTTCAAATCTTACCAATTCGTGAGAACTCAAGACTTGCTCAGCGACTCGTTCACAAGAGAAACAGCTCAGGGAGTCTTATGATCCTGCAAAGTATAATCGAATACAACTGTTCTTAGAGTTTTACAGCTTTACCTCAAACAAAAATTTTAGAACTATGTTTTTTTTTTTTTTTTACCTGGGACGTAACATGCATTTAGCATTATATGGGGCACGTATCAGACAAATGAACCAACTGTTATAGCCCCACTCACTAACGAGCTCTCTTTAGCTCAATGGGTGGATCATTTTAGTGGTACAGTCGAGCCTGTATTAAGCCGCCATCCCCGGGAATGGTGAGTTGACCGTTTAATACAGGGTGACCGCTTAATACAGATTCCACTGATAGGGAGTTTTATAACAAAACTATAAACAAGGCCACCTTATGTCATAATTGACCACTTAATGCCCTCTTAATAAGAGACACAGAATTGCTTAGGAGAAGAGATGGTACAAAATACGCTGACGTCCCTCGGGAATTACCGTCTTTGGTAGAGATGAAGCCAGAGGTACCAGTTTAAATATTTAACAAGTTTCTCGAGTTAATCCTAATTTTCTTCCTCAATACGGAGCCACTTAATACAGGTTCGACTGCAATCTGCGGGGGCACGATCCTCGGCTAGAATCACATTTTTTTAAATTACCAGTCAACCTTGCCTGGAATCGCATTTTTTTAAAGTTACCAGTTCGGCTAGTGTTTGACATTTCGAAATCAACTCTGGTAATATTTTAGACTACGAGCAGTCCTTCCTCCTCCACGAGGTCTGTCGCACGAGTTAGGAGAAAGAACGGTGTAAAAATATTGATAGTGGCGCGCTACAGGACACGGGGAGTGGCCTCACTTTTTTTTTTTCTCCTTTGATCGCGCGACGGAATTTGCTGAAAAGGAGGGACTGCTCGTAGTCTAGTTACTAAGCGTTTGGTAAAGTTCTAAAAATTCAAATCGTTACTCTCACCTTAGCTTCGTTTTCTTCGTCGACCTCTTGGACCATCAAGAATGACGGCTGTTTGGATATAGATTGTCTTCGATTGCGATTTACCCAGTGACCATCACTTTTTCAGCTTCAAGAGGCTCTTGGGACGGAAAATGTTGATCACAAATTTGGCTGTCGTAATTATCCACAAGTGACATCGCTAACGAAGAACGAGACCTAAATGCCTCTGAGGTGTGTCCCAGCGAAGATAAACTGCCTTCTTCTCTCAGGTTTTTCAACGATTGTTCGGGAAATTGAAGCCGCGATGGATACGCCTTTGCATTGTCCTCATTGTGAAAACTCTGACGTCTATGTTCAAGCAATTGCCGATTTGCGATTTGGACGTCGACCTCATCAAGTATCACGCGATTGAGATCTCGAGCTTATTATATAATTGTCCATTATGAATGGTTTCAGTGTCAAAACAAACATCTCTCCGGGAAATGAATCATATCTGTAATACATTTCGACCGCAAGTTATACCATGGTAGATACTCTGCAGCTAGTTACCTCTGGAAGTCAATATTCCGGTAAACGTCTCCTCGTGTGACTTGAGGGCGTTCATTTGCCGTTATTTCATTTCTGGTTTGATGAAAGTAATCGATATCACACCACTATGTATGGAACAACACTGAAGAGACCTATGAGAGTTAAGTTTCATTTTATTCAGCTGAATTCTACTCCACGAGTTTAGCACAAACATAATTACAGTTTTTTTTACACCGGGACTTAAAATTAAATTTTGGACAATGTCTCCCTTGTAAAGCTACATGAATCACATTATTATTTAGCAATTATATTTTTGTTTTGCAAGGTGTGCAAGTATTCACCAGACTGAAAAGGGCTATACTGTGTGTCACAATAAAATGAAAAGGAAATGAGTTAAATTGAAGTAAAATCTACTTAATTATAACTGAGAGAACATTTTAAGAAATCTTCAAGTGACCTTACAATTTTATTAAAGGGACCAAATTGTGTATGGCTCCCAACAACATTTTCAATATGCACACAGCTAATTAATAATAATTAATATAACTGAGTAATGAAGCTGTGTGCATATTGAAAATGTTGTTGAGAGCCATAAAATTAAAATTATTTTAATTTTGTTTTGTGTTTGCTTCAAAAAAGTTGTATGTCCAGGAAGAAACTGAGAACCAGAACCAAGATGTTTCACAAAATGAGCTACCAATTATTAAAAAGAATTTGGTTTGGTGGTTTGATTTGCTTGCAGTTAATTCCATTGCTTAGTACCAGTAGTAATAGTAAAACATGAATGAATTTTTGACCCAAAGCACATACCAATTGGCTGGGTAATTTAAAAAAGAAATCCACTGTTAAATTGACAACTCTCCTGGTTTTTTTCCCTCTCTTTTGTTTTGTTTTGTCTTTTTTGAGGGATTAAGGCATAACACACCACTCAAAATTCACTGTCACTCTGAATATACTCTAAAAATAATGTAAGGCATTTTAAAGCAAAAATGACTTAATCAAACTCTACATGATAGATACATGTACCTGTTTATTGTCCTGGTTGCGTTATCAGGCAATTTACTGCACTTCCCAAATCACACTCCAGCATCAAGCATTTGAACACAAGCTCATCAATGTACTGCTCTTGCATCAAGTATCTGACAGAATCCAGGAAAAACTTGTAAAGTTATAGTCATAACAGCACTGCAACAACTGTCAATCAATACTAAAAAAATTGCACACTACAATCAAGAGCAAAAAAGATGTAATAAAAAGATCAAATCATTGTTGAGAACAGTTCAAACCAGTCAATCTTTGAGTTGTTAATTACTACATTAGTACATCAGAGTGATTGGAATTGCTCCGATGTACATCTACATGCCCTTGACTCTGTATGGTTGTTATTTTTGGTAGGCATGCAATACACCACACTTTTCTATCATTAGATTTATTTCTGTATTAACCCATGCAAGATGTTAGGAAAAAATGAGGAGAGATGGAAAATCAATGGCCTGTAAAGCTTCAATGACATTAAGGTTCATCATTACAGGTACAATAAACAATAGATTTTAGACCACTCTCTTTTTCTCAAAATTAGTTTTAACAATACCTACATTTCTGCAGAGCCCCTTCTTTTACTACTGATCAAGGAGGTCAGCTCTGTCTCTTTGTAAAGAAAAATGAATTTTGGAAAGGGAAGTAATGGTGCACATTGTCATGGCAGCTTAATGAACGATCACAAGCTTGCAAGTTATGCCACCAACGAGGTCGCTAACATATGCTAGGATTGCTGCGGAATTAGATTACATGCCTGGTTTGCTAGTGTGCAAACTTATCACCTAGAACCTTTCAATAAAACACCTTCATGTCAACAATGTTTGATACAACGCTGAAACAAAAATGACTTTGCAGACAAAGCCGTGTCACTCTTTGAACCTCAACGAATCCAAGAGCGTGCCATTCTATTCAAAAGCTGATTGGTTTTGCACCTTATTTCACCTTTAAATTGTGAAATTTGATTCTAGGAAGCTACAATCGAAAGAATGTAATTATCCTGCGCCATTACAGCCCACAAGTGCTCTGTTTTGTGAATTGCTAGAGGTAAAGTTTACTCCAGTTGTGTAAACTTTACCCGGCACAAAACATAGTGCTCTGATTGGTCCATTCAGGTAATATTTACCCTTATCTGGTAAACATTTTCCGTGCATATTGTTTTTGGTAAGGGCACAATGTTTCCAACACATGTTATAACTGGTTTTAACCCTTAATAAGGAATAAGAGAGGGCTACTTTGGCCAGTTACCATGGTGATATAAGTAACCAGGGAGAAAGGAACAGCTTTACCTGACAGGGGTCCAGAAGAAATAAATACAATGGGCGTGTGTTTGTTGTATCATCATCCTTCGGTGATCTGTTGAAACAAAATAGGTTATGATGACCAAGTATATTCATTGAAACAGCCACTGAGGCCATGACTGTCCAGGAGAGAAAGAATCTTCCAAAGATTTTGGGAAACAAACACAGCAATATACATAGTGACAAATTTTGGTAGAAAGAAATGGAGCAAAATGTTCAAAGAGAATTTACCGTAGTTTCTTGGCTCTAAGGCACATGGTTTTTACAAGAAAATTCTTTCCTCGGTTAGAAAGTTAATGCTGAAATTGAGGTGCATCTTATAGCCAAGTATTTTTGCACAACAAAATCTTGATATCACAATTTTAGAAGAACTTATACTGTAGTTAAAAAGACAAGAAAAGGACACTAACTGTTGAGAGAAAAAGGAGAAAAAGCAGAGCTTTTTGGTCTGAGGTGTAGCAAAGATTACATTGAATTCAAACTTTTATTCCTATGAATTAAAAAAGAATACTGCTTTTAGAACACTTAAATCAACTTCTATAGATAAGCAAACAAGTGGACATTTTCACACATGCTCGGTAACATGATATCCAACTCAGGTCTTTTGGTTTGTAGTGTTGCAAGGATGCACACTTTGCTGTCATCGGCAGCCCACCAGAAAACAGGACATGTTGCTGGTTGCATCATTTTCACACCGTGAATTCTGAAATGCCATATTCATGGGCAATTTCACGATTGTTGTTGACTGCCTCAGCTTTGGCAACAATTTTCAACTTGAAGTTGAGGTCATATCAGTGATGGTGAGTGCTTAGCATATTTGCAATCGAACAAGAAGTTGAAGTTAAACTCTGTTTAGGATGAGGCATGCTCCCTTTCCACTTTCCTTTTCCTGTAATTAAAGTTGGCCATATTAATGCAACACTTTTAAAATTAAATTCACCAAACCTGACTGCGTATTAAATAGTAGGAAACGCTCCTTGTTCACAATCACTCTTGGTTTTTTCACGATGGCCATATAGAACTAACAGCTAACATGCAAATGGTGTATTTCTTACGAGTTTGTCCACGACGATAATCGACCTCTCGAGGAAGGCATGGTTTGTTTACCCACGAAGAGCTTTCTCTCTGTTTAGCACGAGCAAGATTTTTAAAGTAAGAGTACTGAAACTTTTAAAGGATCGTATCGCAGGATGAAATCAAATGATAAAACATACAGACTCACCTCGGCGCTCTTTGCAGTTGTGTCAGAATCCTCACTCTTACTATCGACCATTGTTTAATTGAAGCGGCAGATTGTGATATGATGTTGGACTTCATCCTCTGAAGGCACTGAAGTTCTTAAACCTTTTCGCCTTTTTGCTTTGTACTAAAATACAGCCTGTCGAAAGCTCTCGCTCTTCTTGCCAGCGCCATCGCTCGCGACAATCATCCACGTGGTCTTTCTTCCGTGATCTAATAGATATTTTACCCAGTTCTCACCTAATCGTACCATTTTGGTACGCAGGCGAGCCAATATACCCCTGGCGATAACAAACGAGCCTGACTTGGTGCCGAAGCGTACCATGAAGGTACGTCTAGTGATTCACTCTTTCTAAATTCAGTAAAATCTCCAGTGATGTTATTTTGAAGTTACGGCGATGAAATACGTCAGGCATTTATGGAGTGGCCGTGAGAAGAATAGTACGAGTCAACAAACGGCGCGAAAAGATAACAAGGGTCGCAATCACATGAGGAAGATATTTTCAGATTGAGTGTTACAATACACAACAAACAAAGTGATAACTTGTGGTTGAAAAACAAGACTATCACCTTTTATGCCGATAAGAACTGTTTTACAAACCTCATCACGTGGAAACGAACACACAGAAAGCTAAAAAATGCAAATTATTTTCAGGTTTCAAATCAGTTCGTCTCATTAGTTTTTAAAACTTTCAGCTGGAGGAATCAGAGTTGAAGAAAAATACCACCAGCACTGGAACTCAAGGAATTCTGCGGACTGCAATCTGGTCGTGTTTAAAACTTCTGTCGGAATGATTTCCAAATTTTTTTATTCCCAGCAAACTCGCCCCGTTGATTGTTGTTCAGTGTAGATGATTCAATTTCTTCTCTCCACGTTGCGCGTGTTTCTCAGTGAAAATGCTTCAGAATCTGACAGTTATTGTTTCGAGTAAACTCCGTCAATTAATTCTCGTCCTCAACAACCGCACTTTCAATAATAAAGAATGTTGCAGTAAGATGAATTAAATGTAGGTTTTATGACTGCAAGACTTAGTGCAAAACTTCATTATTTGAGTTTAGCTGGTGTTTACAGGTTGGAAAAAAATATATATGTATAGATAAATATTGCCGCCAATATAGGAAGTCTGCAAGTCGATTTTCGCGTGGAACAGTGCTCAATACGTTGAAGCAGAGCAGAATAAATATTATGAGAGGAAAAAAGGACGCAACTACGGCAACAACAACTACAACAACTACAACTACTAAGGTAGTTGCGTCCTTTTTTCCTCTCATAATATATATATATATATATATATATATACGTGAGGAAGAGCGGGATCCTGGTGGCAGAAGTAACATTAAGCCAGGGATTGTCACTGACTCTAGGAGACAACAGTGCATGATCTTCATTCAAAATTTATGGAGATACAAGAAAGCTTGTTGATGGAATCTTTACATTCAACTTCTCCTTCCATTTCTGTGCTTGAATTTCAACCTTTCCCTGGAGCTCACGTCCCGTATTATTGGTTGATCAGTCAACTGACAATCTGATTCAACTTATTTTGAACAATCCTGCAGCAACTGAATTGATTTCCAGCATCAAAGGTGATTTTCCAGTTATAAGATACTCTTTACACTATTGAACTCCAGGATTGTTCAATTATTAGAAGACAAAAAAGTGAGAGCTAAAATTTTATGATTTTTTTTTAATTAGATACTAAATGGCTTGACAACAAATTATGAAACACTTTACACCTTTGTAACATTCTCACTTGGGTTTCACTCCTGTGATACTTTTTTCTTATATTTTTGTGCAAGCTTCTACAAAATTTTAACTTAAATCGTAGGTTAACAACAAAGGTGAATAAATAAAGGAGCCAGATGAAAATACATTATCTGACCTGTGCACTTGATATATGTGTGCAGTGGAGTAAATACGATTAGTGGCGTCGCATTGTAAAAACAATTAAGCCACCTACTAAATAACATGCAAGGACTAAAGTCAATAAATAATGAGTAATAGATGCAACTGAATGCTGAGTAGATAGTTAAATCATGTTTATAAGTACTAATAAACCTAATCATATTGAAATAAAATCAGTTGCAGAAACTTCTGACGACACTGGAAGCGCAACACGGCCGTAAATATGCTTTCACGATTATCTATTTAGCATACCATACTAACTTCCTTTCTCCTGTAGCTGTTTGTACTTGTCTACGACAACTCAGACTATCAAAAATTGAAAACAAACATTGCGGGCACGCACTAGTCACTGTAATACCTTATATGAGTTATCCTCTAATGCTCTTGGTTAAATAAATGCGTCATTTTAATGATATAACGGTATGTAACCTTTCTATTACTAAAACGATAACTAGAACTAAAAAACACTTGATGAGTCAATGCTAGCAATTACAGACGTGTATCCAGTACCGCATCATCTTCTTCGTAATCTCCTGTTGAATAACAAAGCAACTCATTATCATGATACTTTAGTTAACATTGTCGCCTAAAACAAATAACCAAGAGTTTTGGAGTAATGAAGATATATTTCTTCTACCCAGACTGATAAACGAGAAATTAATGCTCCAAAACTTTGAATTTTGGCGAAAATGGAGGGTGGCAAAACATACCTTCGTCTGCAATCAGCTGCTGCTGTCGTGAAGATTTATCTTCCGCGGACTCATCAGCCTGCTGTGGGGAGTCCCCACATGCTCCTTTTGACTTCTCGTCTTCCAGTTGCTTTTGGTTGGGTTTTTCATACTCTCCTTTTGGCTTTTCAGTTTCCAGTTGCTCTTGTTTAGGTTCCTGATTCTCTCCTTTTCGTTTTTCTTGCTGCAGTTGGTCTTTCATAGGTTCTTCATGGTCTTCTTTTGGTTGTTCATAATCCAGTTGCTCTTTCTTAGAATCTTCATCGTCTCCTTTTGGCTTTTCTTGTCCAATTTTCTCGAGTTTAGGATCCTTATGGTCTTGTTCTCGTTCTTCTTGATGACAATCAACTTGCTGCTTTTCGGTTTCTTCAGGGTGTTCTTCTTTCTCCTGCTCATCTTGTTCATTTTCCTCTTGTTGCTGTTCACTTTCGTTTTCATTTCTTTTCGACTTGTTCTTCTCTTTACTTGCATCCTTTAGCTCATCAGGCCCTGCATGGTCGACGTTCGGTTCTTTTTCTTCTTGTTGTTGAGTGCCCTGTTGTTTGGATTCCTGGTCGTCTCCTTTCAGCTTTCGCTCAGGTTTTTCATCGGCTTCATTTAGCTCCTGTTTTTCTCGTTGCGTCTCACTTACTTCTTTGTTTCCCTTTGAATCTGCTTGATGATCTTGTTCAACTTCCTGCTCTGTAGTTGGTTCTTCATGGTCATCTTTTGGTGCTTCGTTTCTTTTAGATTCAACCTGCTGCTGTTCAGTGGGTTCTTCTTGGCCTCGCTCTGGTTCTTCGTCTTGTTCACGTTCAGCTTCCTGCTGTTCAGTCGCTTCTTCTTGGCTTTGTTTTGGTTCTTCGTCTTGTTCACGTTCAACTTGCTGCTGTTCAGTGGCTTCTTCTTTTCCTTGTTTTGGTTCTTCGTCTTGTTCATGTTCAACTTGCTGGGATTCAGAAGGTTGTTCATTGTCTTCGCCTGATCCTGCATGGTGCTCACCATCTCCTTGTTCTTCTTGCGATTCATCCTCACTATCGTCAGTGCTCCCCACTTCCTCTTGGTTTTGTACTGTGTTCAATAAAATAAACACAAAAAGGGAATAAGGTTAAAAAGTGTTTCCTCAGGTGGTTGTAGTTGGCCAAATCGCCAAATTTGTTATACGAACTACACCGTGCTTTTTGCATTTGGTAACCGCATCGTGTAACTTCTCCGTCCTCAATCATTTACGCTCCGCTTTTACTCTTTCCGAATATCTCTTTGTGGCTTTGATACCTTATTAAAACCATTATTTGAAAACTTTTCACGGTCGACCAAACAAGTAGCCTATGTTGCCGTGCGTCTGTTCATTCATAGATAACATATGACGACAAAATGTGGTAACATCAAAAATGTGGTGCACTGGACTCAGCCGATTAAGTCTCCGATGTTCTTAGCCCATTTCGATTTTTTATGTGAGTGTTTTATGACAAAAAGCGAAATATTGTTAGTGGTGAAAAAATCTATAAGTCTTCCCTCCACTAAATAATAATTGAGAATCAGTCAAAGTAGGATTAAGCATATTACATAAAGAAAAATTACAGTAATTAAATTGACTCAAAATGTGGTTGTCTGTAAACTTCAAACTGGAGGCTAAATTACTTTTTACGCGTTTCTTATAATGGCAAAAAGGTCGAACCGAATTGCTTCAAAGTTACAACAATGCTTTTCTTTGGCTTTTCTGTTTTGCTCTTGGTTTTTGAATGCTAGGTATTGCGTTCTGAAATTTGTTTTAGTCTGTGGAGAAGTGAATGGTGCGTACCTTCTTCGATGACTCTCATCTCTATTCCCTGATCTTGAACTGACGGAAAAATACAAGCAAGCGGACAAAACATCAGCAATAACAAATTATTCATTCATGAGGCAACGTCTTTTTTTATCATTTG